ATAAACACATTATTCAACAATCATCAGCTAATTTCACAACTGATCAATCTCATCTATCATTCGTTAAAACAGCAGCAATTAGTATAAGTAATCAATCACAACAAGATGTTTTAAAATTTTCAGGATCACTAGATGAAGATCCTGGTGTATGGCTTGATTCTCTATTAGCTGTTATTGAGAATACTGATATGAATCCTCAATAACGACGAGATTTTGCAGCTGCACAATTAGTTGGTAAAGCACAAGAATGGTATCGCCGACATCGTCTACAAATTTCTGATATACATGCATTTATTAACGAATTCATTAATACCTTTCTATCAACAAAAAAAACAGTCGATATAGCAGAAGCGTCACCAGGATTGACAAATGAAATAATAACATCTGACATTAATACGGTCATAACAAAATTGGAACAAGAGTTACGATTAAAAACATCAATTAGAATTATTGATGATTTTCCTTCATTTACAGGTAAACCATCGCAAAATATTGACAAATGGTTGAATGATATGCACAGAATGTTGATCAAAATGAATATTAGTGATGATACAAAGCATCAACATATTGTTAAAGAACTAACAGGTGCAGCAAAGGAATGGTACAATAAACATCAAGAAGAATGTTCAAATTATATATCATTAAAAAATGAACTGAAAACAACATTTTCATCATCAATTAGAGACGAGATGGCATTTCAACGACTGCCACGGCAACAAAATCATAATGAAACAATTATTGATTATTATAACCATGTTTTAGACTTATGCAAACAAGCTGATCCAAATATGAGTGATGAATCCATAGTTAAATATTTAAAACAAGGTGTTAAACAATCATTTCATGAAAAAATTATAGAACAAGATCCAACAACACCCAAAGAATTTCTTCGAGTAGCTCGTCGAATTGAAGATATAAAAGCTAGTTTAACAATAAATACAACACCCACACCCACACCCACATTCACACACCCACACCTTTTATATTCTACGTAAGCGCTTTTTTAGACAGAAATCATAAAAAAACATTTTATTGATCGTAAAGCCAATCGAAATCTTTGTATTTTAAGTACACAAATGTTTTATTCATTATAATTTGTAGTCCTTGACTAAATTACGTGAAACTAGATAATTATAACAAAGTATGATTCCTACATTGTATTCATTTATTTTTACATATAAGTTTATGTTTATATAATTTCCAGTCCATGATTTGACATTCTTTTGAACAATAATGAGCTTGTTGACATTTGCTGCAAATCTTAGATGCATTTGCTTTGCAACAATATCTACACATATTCAATATCCGTTCAGATTCATTTTGCATTACAATAGAAGAAAAGTCGTCAACACGAATCGTTGGTTTCATATCATTGGCTCCTATTCGTAAATATGGATTGATAATATGCATTTTACTTCCAATAGTGTACAATTTACTAATTAAGTATTCACCTTGTTCTTCAGGAAAATTATAAACGAGCATTCGCTCACAATCAAAATTTTCGTCTTCGATTACTAGGTGAATTGATGGAATCCATGAGTATGTTTCTTCAATGATTGTTACAGAAAGCACATGTCCATTATAAACTTGATCTTTTGTTGGATCTATTTCTCTTAATGCAATTGGTTTCAAACCAATTAATGATTTCGCTGTTTGCTGTTTAACTCGAGGTTTGACTGTGGAGGAGATAACCGTATAACCTGGATTATGTTTTTCTTGTAATGTTTTGCCCTCCCATTCACGATGCTTTTTAATAACTTCCACTCTATGAGGATCAGTAAGACGTTGTTTACGATTATTATCAGTAACTGGTTTTATATTTTGTACAAGTTCCATATCAAACATGGGCTTTAAATATGCAATATTGCCTGATTTATAAGGCAAAAAACATGGTAATTGCAATTTCTCTGCCTGTTGACCTTCCACATATAGTTTCTTGACCCAGTCTATTGCAACATCGGGCGTATAACCTTGTATATAGCAGATAGCCATTTCATAATATGCTTCGGGAACTTTCCGATGATCTTTTGGAGCAACTGTGAGAAATGTTTGATAGGCTTTGATTGCTTCATCGATATCTATACCTAAGTGACGCAACAGAACAGCTTTATGATACAAAAGTTCGCAATTGTCTGGCTCTATCTCAAGTCCATTGTTAATATTATATAAACCGATATCAGGCCGATGTAGAAACCCATTCACTGCCCCGCTTGCTAGGAAGAAATAGATTGATTTTGGATACTTTTGTTTACACGGAGTAAGAAATCGATCAATTAATTCATATGAATTCATATATAATGTAGCGTAACATAATCGGACATCTTCATCGAGTTGTGAAGCAACAGAATTCGATTCTTTAGTACATCGGCAAAGTACTCGATCAACCACTTCGCTAACTCTTTTATGCAGTTGACATGGAATCTGAGCTACAATATGTTCAATACGATAGCATTGTGAAAGTTTATGGACAAATATGTCTTCTTGTTTTTCTGTTAAACTTTCAAAAAGTAAGAGTATGTTTAGCGCTTGTGCAAAATGGTCCAAAGCATCACAAAGTTGTTTAGCCGTTATTGAACCACGATTGGCATGTTCACTTAGCATTTTATAATCTTGTATGTATGAATGATCAGACAGTACTGATGGAGCATGTTTAGTTGAAAATAACCCAATGAAGTATTCCACTGCATTAACTTCTTCCAATTTATTCGGTAAACATTGACTTATAAATTGTTGACTTTTTTCTATTTCTTTTGCAAACTGATCACGATTCTCTTGAGCTACAACATTGCCTGCTTCACATGCTCGATCATACCAAATTTTTGCCATTCGAAAATTATTTTTAGACAACAAAAGTTCTGCTAAAGTCAGCATAGCAAGTGGATCTCCTCTTCTTGCTGCCAATTCCAAAAATTGCTCAGCTTTTTCAAGATCTTTGTCAACCGCAAGGCCACCCAGATACATTGAACCTAAATTGTTGGCAGCCAGAGCACTCCCATGATCAGCAGCACGTTGATACCAGTAGGCAGCTACTGATAGATCCTTGCGGACGGTAATACCTTCGAAGTATCTAACTCCTAAAGCATGTTCAGCTTCGGCTACACCAACATTTGGAAACTGTTTAAATATGGGATTTTGTGGTGGTTGCGCGGCTGCTTGCTCAAGTAGTTTGAGAGCCAAATAATGGTCTTTCTTTACACCTAAGCCACGATCAGTTAATCGAGCTAAATTATACATTCCTTCAGCGTTGCCTTGACTTGCTGCTTTAGCAAAATATTTAGCAGCTTGCTCATAGTCTTGTTTAACATCAATATCTCCAAGTTCATATTTATGTCCTTTCAATACGTCAGCTCGTGATGGATCTATTTCCTCGATTAAACTATGATATTTTCGTACCGTTTCTGGATCTGTACCAAATTTTTGTTGTAGTTCATTCAAAATTTCAGGAATTGTTTTCGTGTACAGTCTTGGATTTAAATATTCTTGTTGCGATTGCCGACTTAAGATTATACGACTTTCATCCAATGCTTCTTGAATCTCCTTTTTCGTAGGATCAAGTGCAAATGCTCGTTCGAATGAATTAATTGCTTTTTCATGTTCATCTAAAGCAGCATGAACTTTTCCAACACGAAAATGTCCTTTCCACCATGTTGACCAAAGATTTCTTGCTTGTTTAGCATCTTGCAATGCGCGATATCGTTCATCTTTTGCATCAATAGATTCAAATTTGATGAAAGAAGTTTCCTGTTGTTCATGCAATGATAAACGACTCGCGGCCATATTCGAATAAAAAGTGGCTCGATCATGATTTGAAACACCTGGTAAAACTGTTGCTTTAGCAAATAATGTTACTGCTTCAGAATACTTTCCATCTTTATGAGCCTGTGTACCTAGTGAATTTAAACGTAATGCTTCTTTCATATTTTCTTCATTTATTGATTGTTTAGGCGATTCAAACACACTATCATCCTTTAGTTTATCTAATTCTATGTCAACATCGCCAAATGCAACCAGAATTGCTGCTAAATCAGTCCATAATTAATTGAATTGTACATCATCAACAGATTTTGTTGCATTATGAGCTAGTTTATTTCGAATTTCTCTTAATTGTTGCAAAAGTTTATCTTCCTCATCAATTTGTTGTATTTCACTGGTGCTTAATGTTTTTGAACGATCAATAAATAATAGAAGAGCAGTTAAAGTTGTTACATCCCATTCATCTGAATTTCCATTAGAAACAGATGTCTTTTGTACAGGTGTTAAATTAATTTTCTTGTTTTTCGCAATCACATTGGTTACATAATTGTTTCCACATGTTGGCGAATCATTCCACACTTGACCATTGTTGAATAATACATAACGATTTTTAAACAAATGACGAAGTGAAATGCGTGACCGTGCAATTAATAACTCTAATTTGAAATAATTACGAACTTCAGATAATTTATTGGTCATAAGAGAACTACACTAATAAGTTTTGATTGTGAAAATTCGATTAACAATGCAGTTTATTTTCAAATGAAATACTAACGTTTCCCGAATAATTCACAGGAATTAATATAATTGACGTGACAATACAAAATGTCTCAATGTAATTTGTATATATTGTTGTGAAGATAAGTTAGGTTACTTTTGTACGACAGTTAATACAGTTACATCTGGTGTGTACACAACAGATTTTTACTTTTTCTCATCTTTACCTTTATTTTGTTTGCCAAAGAAACAAAATAAAAAATAAAAAGTACATACATACACTAAGTCTCTTGCACGCCTATGAAGAAAATTATTTTTTGTTTTTTTTCTTTCTTCAAGATTGGATTATATGTAAAATTCACTCATTTCAAATCATGACAAGGCAATCATCTTTTTTTCTCTGTTCTCTCTCGTATTTATTTATTTATAGACCCTTACTGTCTTCGGTGTGCACAGCGAATTAAAACAAACGCAACCACATAAATATGTCTCAACAAGCACTAAAGACTCGTGAAGAAAGATCACAAAATCAGAGCAGAAATCCAACCTACATCTTCCGATAACCGGTCGATGATAAGTTTGAAAATATTTGATTGACCGAGAAAGAGTGAGAGAATACGATTAAGAATTATCTGTTGCGAATTCACTTGTCCACGGTTTTATATATCGAACTGTCATGAACATGCATAGTTGGTGTGGCTTATCTAACACGAAAGATTTGGTAAAAACATTCATATAAGTAGCTCAAGAATCGAACATTTATGTGCCAGTAACCAGTTTGATAATCTACGAACTACTCTTGTTTTCGTTGAGAATAAAATTTCTGTCTCACGACGTAAGATTATAATCAATAAGAGAATAATGAATTTTCCATTGTTGACTTGGTTCAATAAAAAGATTTGGATAAAAATCCATCATAAATGAATCAATATGTTTAAGATATCTATATTGTTTAAATTCAAATGAACAAATCCCATAATCAACACAAAATGATTGTTTTTACAATTATCTCGATAAATATTAGCAACATTAGATAAAAGTAAAAGCACTCGACGAGAGTGTGGGTGTGGCTGTAGAGTGTGGGGGTGGGTGTGAGGTGTGGGGGTGGGGGTGTGTGTGACGGTGGGTGCGGAGTGCGGGTGTGGGGTGTCAATGTGTGGATGTGGACGTCGATCTCTTCTCTTTCGACATCCACCCACACCCACACCCACACACCCTTCTCATGTATTAAATGTGTTTGTATTACAAAAGATTCCTTAGGTTTTTTGGATCGTATCTATTGTTTTCAACAATGAAGATTTTCTTCATCTGTGCTGGTAGGTTCAGTGGTGAAGATAAAAATGGAATTAATATATCTTTGGTTTTATATTTCAGTTTTAATCCAGGGTTACTCATCGTCTGTCATATTGATCAAGATAGATGCTTGTGTGAAACGAAACAAAACAGTAAAAAACAGTGGTTAGAACGAGCCGACAAGGCAATTTTCCTCATCAGCTCAATTTTCTTATGAAATATTTATCGGTAAACGAATTATACTAGAAATACCCCCCCCCCCCTCTATAATTGAAGACCCCCATAATAGAAGACCCCTTTGGGAAAAAACCGTGTCCCACATAATAGAAGACCCCCCTATTTATTTAAGATTTTTTTTTTTTAATTGAGGATTTTTATTAATGTTTTACCCCGAAACGTGTCTATTTCTGGAGGTTTTCAGCTAAAAATTTTCAAATTGATGAGTTAAACTCTATACTTCAGCTTTGAAAATCGTGAAAATTCTTTCTCCAATTTTCAAAATCGCTTCGATTCTCTCCGAGGACTTTTTTAATTACAAAAACTTATCAATGTAGTCACTATGGAGCTAAGGTGTAGTACTCATTAGACTCAGACTGCTACAAATCTATATTATATTCTCAAAAATGAGTGAAAAAGTTTATTTTTAAAACATATCAAATAAATGGATAGATTACATCTAATTCTATCGTTTGAGTTACAGCATACGCTGTAGAACAATATCCTGAAGAAACTATTTCATTTCGAATTCCTATCTCTCCTTCATTCCACTTATCAGATTTCCTGAATATATTTATAATATTAAGACAAGCGACGGAGAATGTTAAACTTCAAAGAAAAACATTGGTCATAATGATTAATTTCTAGCAGTTTCTATTCGTACATTTCAAACATATTTTTTCTCTAGTGCGTTTCTTTTCCTGTTGCCATTCGCAATGTGTTATTCTTCTGTTAATCGATATTATCATTATTTCGTATTATTCCATTCAAGCTCTAATTTAATGATTAAATAATCTTAGTATAGACATTGGTTCTATCTTCGCCATATTCTAACAATCTTGTATGCATACTAATGTACTGAATAAGACACAATAAATATTTCTAAAAGTTAGAAAGTAGTTTGATCACGATTTTATATAACTTATACTACCGTTATGAAAAATCACAAAAGATTATCTTTCAAATGGATCGTATAAACTTTTATCTGCGCAAAAAAGGAGGCTAGCTTTTTGCGAATGCTCGTAAAAATATTCGAACTATTGAAAAACAATGATTGTAGAAGTTTTTGCAACCTTCCCAGGGAATAGAAAAACGAAAAAAAATGCCATACTTCATAATAAAAGGGATATAATCATGCATGTTTTGTATTTTCATCGTTTAAAATGAAAGTTTCACGAATTACATTTCATGATTTTGATTTCTAATCAAGATCATTATAATGAAAATGATTAGAAATCAAAATCATGAAACGAGAGTGGTAAAAATTTTGATTTTAATCAATGAAAATAAGAAACATGCATGATTATATCCTTTTCATCATGAAAAACGCCATTTTTTAAATTTTTTGACCTGAGAGCCACCATTTGTTTTCATTTGTTTATTCTACGGGTATTAAATCTAAATGATTGCTACGACATATAATGGGGAAGAGGGAACAAGCTGAAAAATCTTGACTCAAACCTACGATCACTGTTAGTTCCTTCGAAAATATATGTGAGTTTTACAAAACTTAAAAGCATAATATTTAGAAGAGAAATTAGAAATTACAGATTATAAAATAAGATAGCCGTTGATATTAATTACTTCCTATTGTTTGTTGCTGTGGGAAGGATGTGGATGATGTTTTTCCAGCATCTGATTACTATAAAAAAAATTGAGGAGCCGTAAGACTTCAACTTAAACTTGCATTTACTAAATTCTTCGAAAATAATTGTGAGTGTCCAAAAAATCGTGAAAATACGAGTCATAATACAAGACCCCCCTAAAAAAATTTTCCGCTTAAACATTATACAAGACCCTGGGTCTTTTAATATGAGGGGGGGTTACAATTCTTTCGTGCTTTTGTATACTGTTCTAAATAATTACCAGTACATGGCAGAACCCAAAAGAAAAAAAACATGCAGAACTCGTGTTCCAACCCAATATATTATACACATATGTTTCAAGAAAATTAATTTATTTCATAGATTGCTACTTATCACACATAATTATTTTCATCTCTATATAGATTTTGTTTTCTTACAACAATAGACAAGAGAGTTTTCTCTTATTTTATTCTATTTGTCTTTAATTTAATAGTATATTTTTTGTCTTTCAAAATTTTCCTGGATAAGATATTTTTGCATACGGAAAATATTCTTGTAAAGAAGAATTTGAACATGTTGTTTTACGATATAATTTTAGTTCATTTATTTTGGCACAGTTAATTCGTGTATCTTCTCTTGTGAAATTATGTGTTACTCGTTGTAAAGATTCATATTTGATATGAAGAAGAACATTATTTTGTAAATGCGTTTTAGTATTACATAGAAATTGTTCTATATAATCATCATGAGCATTGAGAATAACAAGTTCACCAAGAAAAGAATATTCAATAAGAGATAAATTTCGATTATCATTGTTTGATTCATAAGATTGTTTGTGATTTTGTGATTTATAATTAGCCATAGATAATTGTTCCATAAATGGAAATGATTCTTGAATTTGAAGAAAAAATTCATGTTCAAAAGGATGTTCATCAAATAATGACACCACACGAACATATTTAAATAATCCACCTGGAAAATTATTTGTAATATTGCCGTAATATGGCATAAAAGATGGATAAGAGTAAATATGACATTGACTTTCTTTTGCTTCTGAAAAATAATCAACATAAGAAATTATATTATTATTGTTATTTGGGAAGTCAATGAATGTGCGTTGAATATCTTCTGTCGATGGGAGATTGACTTGATTACAAATAAGCATGAATGAGCGAATATAAAATTTAAATTGATTTAATCGTGACATACGATTAAAAATGTTTTTCTTCAAATGATTTCCATCAATAAATGTTGTATTAATAAAAATCGCAATATACAAACCGAGTTGTTCTAGATTTGACATTCGATGTAGAAGTGGTAAGATCAATTCATCGTAATTATTTGTTCCCAAATTACAGGATAGAGAAAAACACTTTAGATTTGGTAAATTGCCCTAAAAAATAACATTTCTTTTGTTATTTAACAACATAAAGATTTTTCTTGTAAAACTAACTTGATTTTTAATTTCATGTGGTTCATTAATATGAACCAAATCAACACAGAGTGTGTGAAGTTGATTAAATCGACCATCAAGAAGATAAAGACAATCGTCAAAACATTGTACTCTGATATTCAATTTCAAAAGAGTTGAAGAACGAAAAGTAGGAAGAAATGCATCATCAAATAATAATGGAACACGTTTTTTATACGATGATTCATATAATGTTAAATAAATTAGACTAGTGAAAACAGTCAAGATGTAATTACATATGCTTGTCGTTGACAATATCATTTCGTCATAAAACACATTATTATTATCAATTGTAATAAAGAGTGTTGTAATCTGATTTTTGAAAATACTTCATCTAAACATATATATATATACAATATTAGTAAGAAAAAAAACCTACGAAAATAATTTCAGTATATTCATTCAATGATCTAATCATTTATAGCAATAAGTTTGAGAAATCTTTTCTTTGTTTTTCCAATAAAAACAATTCAATTGAAATTTCTTACCAGTAAAAAGACATCGAGCTGACTCTTCATCAATATTATAAAGGCCAAGACCATATAAATTAGGATAAACGGCAGTACGTAAAACATTCTTAATGGATGATGATTCAAGATCAAGCCATTTGATTTTATCATGAATTTTAGGTAAAATTTGTAAACAAAATCGATTAAGCATCATATCACAACGCAATACATCGATAAAATTATCTGAGCACCATTTGACAAAAGTCAAACGACTTGTAAAAGTCGAATCTTGAACAAGCTTATTTAGTCGTTGATTAACATCTTGTAAAGAATAAAGTACTTCAAAATTGTTCAAGTTTTTGAAAATAATCATAAGGACTTCATCAGGTAAATCGTTGAATCCAACACATGAATACTTCGTATTTATATTCATTTATCTATTCTTTTCAGCTTATTAATGTCAATATCTATATGCATACACTCATTTGTTCTATTTGACCGATGTCGTCAAATACAGACAATAACGCATTCTTCTATTTCTCCCAAACAGACTGAAAAAATAAAACGAATTAAGCAACGTGATTGGGTGGGTGTGGATGCGGATGTGGGTGTAGGTGTGGGGTGTGGGTGAGAAAGAGAAAGATATAAGCCGCACCCACACCCACACCCACACCCACACCCTTCTCGACAGAGAACTATCTATTTAAGTGTAAAGAAAACAACTAAGATTTTACAAGATATTCTTTTTGTTTTTTTTTAAACTTAAATTGCCATAGAAGGAAATTGGAAAAAAGAAAAGATGTGTACTATACCGATAAGATTGTAACAATTCTTTAGATCACTAATTTGATCTAACAGATAAAGAAGATATGCCAAATTATAGGCCTGGTGTACGAAAAAGTTCTGATCATAATTTAATTAGCTTGAGAATCAAAACACTCAATCAAGACTATTTTTTTTCACAGTTGAGTCTCTTTCAGGTATTTAAAAACAATTTTCTATCGCCGTTCTATTAGAGATCTGTATAGTTTTGATAGAGCTGAGCGTGTTGATTACAAATATCACATGTTTTAACAAATGCACTTTTTTTTTTTTTTTTTTTTTTTTTTTTTTTTTCTGTTAAAAAGAAAAAAACAGAGGGTCGGTGTGGGGGTGGGGGTGGGTGGGTGTGGGTGTGGGTGTGGGTGTGG